TTTTTTGAAAAAGTTTATTTTTCTTAAATAGATTCCAGTATACTAATTTAAAAGACAATAATTGAAATTTCTATATTTTAGCTAGTTTATGTCACAGATTAACGTCTGTTTCTTTTCTTTATAACCGTGCTATATTTTCTCGGTATTGGAGGCTGAGTTCTCTTAAGGGATTTCACATCACGAAGCATATAATAAAATTCTGTCGCACCTCTTTTTCCTCCTATCCAAGTCTCGATGTAAGCAATAATAAAACGTTTTCATCATCGTCGCGACTAATCGCGTGCAAGCTTGTTTATTTTTACACGTCGACATTTAACATCGTTAGCCATTTACGTGTATGTAGCGAAATATTACACATTACGGATAATCATAATTTTATCGTTAATAAATGAATGTATATTATACGTATGTAAGTAGCACTTATTTAAAATAATGTTTATAATTTTTGCAAGACCAAAGAATGTTATTTTACTTTGCTAAAAAATTCACATTATTTATTTATTGACTGCGAACATTCTCAGAGGACACATTAGAAAATAGCAATGATTTTGTTTATCAAAATGTATAATTTTAACAGTTATTTTAATTACGAATAAATGAAACTAGGCTCTCTTCTCTTTGTACATATTTAATCAAACATATTTTCTCTAAGATTCATAATCTGACTATTTTAAAATTTTTTTGCATACGAGCTCTCTCTCTCTCTCTCTCTCTTAGTTATTATTATTATAGCTAATTATCGAGTATCTTATCAGTAGACGATGATTAGTGAAACGAAGCCGCCCAGTTCCTGATCTCCGTCTGAAACAAGCGCGAGTCTGGTGCCACACTGGGAGCTGTCTGGTAGTGGGGACACGAAAAGGGACGAGGGGGGACAGAATGGTGCTTAGAGCTGGAAGGGGGTCAGAACCAGTGGAGGGAGACCATTCGTCCATGGTCGTAGGAGAAGGTTGTGGTAGGTCGCGATGGCAAAATGGCCGATCAGGATGGTTACCCGGGAAACCATCTGGGCGGTGCTTGGCGTTCACCAGAGGCGGAGCGTGATGGCCTTGGCGGCCATTATGGTCCTCCGCTCCGAGAGATATCGCCACCTGGTGAGCGTCCCCCGAAACCAGGGGTTAAAACCAGCCTTGATACCGGGAATATTACCACCCTCCGGGACTGTCTGGGATACGAATGGGCGAGAGATCGCTTTTGCATTCTGGGATAGTTTTCATACTCTAGACAGTTCTGGGATTCGTATTATGTGTTGTGAGATGATTCGTTCTGATCATTCGAAATCTGATTATTCTGTCAAGTTGCTTCTCTCAAAAACAGTATATTCTTGATTTCTTACGAAATTTCTTCTGACGAGTTGTATAAACTGTACTTCTACTTAATTTATTTAATATTGTCAGCAAATTGTTAAAGTCCATTTCGCCATGCTAGAGAAAGGAAGGATGAATTTTTCCTGTTGTCATCGATTATTGCTATAGAGTACTTACTGGAGTGTATCTTATATGAATCATATTAATCAGCACTTCTCCTTTAATTATATAATATCTTCAGGGAGAATTGATTGAAGTAAATTTCACTGTTTGAAAGAAATGAAGGCAATTATCCAGTCATTATTAATTCAATCGACTATATTGATTATTCTCTTTCTTCAGTTTTCTAAAAAAATTGACTAAATTATTACATAATTTAATAATTTATAGTAAATTTAATAAGAGGGAGGGTAATTACCCTCATTTTTTTTACATTGCAATAATTTACTAAATTGCTACAGAGTAGTCAGAATTAAATTAAATATAAAGTAGTAGTTAATGTTTTTTAAAATAGTTTTTAAACGAACCCAATTTAAAGAAAAATGAAAATATAATAAACTGTATTTTCGTAATGATCAAGATACCACGTTTTGCAACAAAAAATTATTGTCCGATTTCGCAAAATTGTGAACAGTTTTATACTAAGAATATTATTTTATATTGTAAAAAAATATTCAATATAGAATTATGTGACAAGACCAATACATATAACACTATTTATATCAAATTCTGGCGAAAGAATGAAAGTGATACCTAATAGGACTCTCGAAATTCTCATGCTACAGCGATTCTCGCGATTTTTCAGATCGCCATTAATATTTGCAACACGCTTCGTCGAACGCGAATTCTTGATAAACTGGGAAGGAATTCGTCGCGCCTTGGATTACGTCGTTCGGGCGGCATCCCCGATGCGCGGGTAATCCGAACACGCGGGACACGGAAATATAGAAGAGAGATTCCTGCGAAAACGGATTACAATTCCTGACATAACCCCGCCGGTGTCGAATACCCCCGCGATTCGAATTGCGTGCCAGCAGCAGCGCCATTAAACGCATCTAGTGCGAGCGAACGGGCTCGAGCGAGCGCGATATCGCGTTATTATTAATCATCCGTGTATCGTTTACGTGGCGCTTCCCTCGCCTATTATTAACGGCCGTTGCGCCCCGTAGATATTTACTTATTAATTAACCGATTAACGTTTCGCAATTATGCGCCGTCACGCTCCACTCGCGTACCCGGAAACCGCGCCTTGCTCGTACCTCATCTCGCGTTTCTTACGCGTTCGATTAATAACGGCCGCGAATTATTATTGATGCCAACGATGTGCCACGGTGCCGATAGTCGGAGTATGACCAACCCGCCATTTCCAGACACATCAATTAATTTCCTGCAGTCATACAAATGCAAATTTATGCACCACGCCGTTTCTTTCGATTGTAAAAGGATAAAGCGCCATCGATCGATGCGTTAATAGGTAGTTACACAATTATTATTAGATATATTACCGACGTCCATAAATTGAGTCATCGCACGTCTTTATTATTATATATATTTGCAGAATTTGCTGATATGTAATTTTTATTGGTTTCGTTTTATATATTCAATGTATTCTCTTCTTTACATTTTTACAAATCATCTTTTCTCTCATATTTCAAACTTTTGACATGTTCCATCGTTTATCTCTTAATCTTAATCTTATATACAATATAATTACAACACGCTGTAAATTATACATGTTTTGGCCAAACATCGAATTGAGTATTTGCGGTCACGGTGTGACGATTTTGACGAGCACGTTTCGCCCATAAATGCTGATTTATCAATTAATTGGCTGACGCATCGTGACCGCACCGAGTCACGCTCTCCCCTTACGATTACGATGACCCCAGTGTGCCAGACAGGCGAGAGGGTTGCATGATATTCCGAGGGAATCTAAAACCGGATGCGAAGTATTCTATAAATATAATACGCATACATTCTTGTGTCGATCTGTACACGAAAAGGATCTTTCTCATCTATGTAAACCGCGCAAACATTTTGTGATATCTCGACGTATTGTATAATTTTATTAATATAATATAATTATACTATATTATATTATATTTATATTAATATAATATAATTATAAAGGCCTCGGTGGTCTAATGGCTTAGGACGCTCGTACGGAATACAAGAGATCCGGGTTCAAGTCCCGGCCGAGGTAATATTTTTCGCAATAAATTTATTTCAACACATTGTCAATTTAATTTAACTTGTGATATTATTGCAGTAGTTTAATTGCGTTAGATGAAGTCCGGAAAAATTTCGACACGCAGTATGAATAACTACAAAAATACGATATATATGCATGTACATATACCAGATAGGATATAGATAGTTCATTAGGAATTATTTAGGCAAAAAAGATCTAGTTTTGACCGTCATAGGCCTAAATATGCTGATACTTAGTGTTTAATTCTTGTCGATCCGAATAAAAAATCTTATTATTGATAATATAATTATACTACCTTAAATAGTTGAAGATGGGGATTATTTCAAGCTTTAGAAGTTCTGCGTGATAATGGCGCTGATATTTTATTTTTGAATTATTTTACGAGCGAAAAGTTTAATAGAAGTCCAGCTTGTAAAATTTTGATGTAAATATACACTTTATGTTATTAAATTTGAAGAAAATCGGAAAGAAGTAAACATTTATTTAATTTTAAACTAAAGTAGAGCGTGCACTTTCGCAGAGGCCATAGAATACAGAATGACTATCCGTCATTTGATTCGATAAATCGGCTCTCCGACCGAATCCCGGTCGCGTTGACAAAGCCCGAGAGTAAACCGAGCGTGCGGATCCTGCTACATCCCGCTTCCATGACCCCCTCTCGTTATCCTAGCAGCCAGCACTTTCTGCTCCAGGCCAGAGGTTATGAATAATACATATTAATTGCACCATTTCCATATACCATCCTCTCTCTCTCTCTCTCTCGCGCTCTCTCATTCTCTCTGTGTAAATATATGTACGGTATAGTCGAGACAATTTCACCATCGACGCTCAAATTCGTTGCGTGCGTTTCTGGAGGAACGCGAACGAGAGACTCGATAAGCGTGCATGAATATCACGATAATAGGCTCTGATAATTAACTGGGTGGTTGTTACGTGGATAGCTGAAAAGGTCCCGCCCCGTGCATCGTTCGCATGATAACCGCTCGTTGTCGAGAATGGTTTAATCCTTAACCCCTCATGATTCCGTGGAATAAGTAGAACCTACACAGATTTCATTTCATTATGTAGCACCTTGTTATTTTGAAAGTCTCTAATTAACAACGGACAGGGTACATTGTTATGTTACAACTTAAAAAAATAGCTAAGCAGAAAATTGTTCTCGTAATGCTGTTTAATTAAAGGGATTATTCGCAAAATGGTTTTTATATTACGTCTCTCACAAAGATATGTAGCCTCTATATTATATATCAGCTGCAAAATATTAATTAAGATATTAATTATTTTAACAAGGAAAAAATATATGGATACATTGATTTATTTCAAAGTTATATTATCAGTTCACTTTCGTTCAGAGCTGAACCGTCACAAAGCTTTGTTTCTTGAGCTTTGTCTCTTTTCGAAATTTCTCACCTATATATAGTCTTTTTATTATATTACGTATAATGCAATTAATGTAAGCGTTCGATTATATGTGCTTGTAGATCCTCGTAGAGTACGACGACGTGGAATGGCAAAGGAGGGAGTGGCTGTCACCACATAGGGATGCCGTATTTTCCTTCTTTCTCATTGAAAGAGGTCTCTATTGGGCTGAACGACCTGACCCCAGGCACGCCAGTCTCATCCCCATCGATCATCATAATCACGCGAACAATAACCACCATCAGCACCGCATTAACGGGAAATCGCTCAGAGGCGCCACGGCGGTCGCCGACACCGTTGCTTGGCCAGCTCTTGTAAGTTGTATAAATAAATTGTGTATATTTTTCATGAATGTATTTACGAATCCTTGGATAATCTTGTTTTATTTTCTCTAAAAAAAAATATCAATATTTTTTGTATCAGTGATTTCTCATTATTGGTTGAATAGTTTCCAAATTAGATTGTAAAAAAAAAATAAAGAGAGATACTCCTCTTCAAATATCCACTAAATATAACTCGAAAACGAAAAACAAGTTCTTTCTTTTTGTTAATTGCATTATTAATTACAGAACTTTCCTGCCTTGTTTAGAAATGTAGATTATAGAAATTATACGATATACCGTTAAAAGAATATTTTTACCACGGTTTAAATATTATATGATACAATATTCACGCCTGAATGCGGCAGTAATCTGTCATGTGTGATTTCCTTCGAATTATACACAGAAACTGTCACGATTTACCATTTTTAATGCAGATCTCTCATATTTTAACGATGATAATTGAGAAATGCTCGTGATACTATTCGAATATTAATCAGTTCGTGGTTAATTAATGAAATACTCAATTCTCCAGTCCGTTGAATAAATTTTACATCGGCACAATTCAACCGCTACAAAACGGACTGTCGCATTCCATTGGCTCGGCGCTCTTTTTCTGATTAAAATTTTAATGCTTCGATTGAATAAGCTTAATCATTTTGTGAAAATTCAACTACGCAAAAATAATTACGTTTATATATTTAAAATTTTTGCCTCCTTTGCAGTTTTTTGTAAAGAAATATTAAAAGGTCTGAATGCCACGTTGTATAAATATTACTGAAATATCATTGCTGTAATTGTCAATATCTTTATTTCTATTCCTTTTACATGTAGATAATAATCAATTTTTATTTAATATCTGATGTCATCAGATTAAAACTATTATCTATATACAAAGAAATTATAATATTTATATTCCATTTTGTAAAATATAAATATATTTTCAAAATAATTCTTATTTGAATATGCCATAAGCTAATTTCATTTTTATTCTGCAAAATTGATTGTAATTTTTAATTAATTCGTTAAAATTAATTTATGTAAAATTAAAGTATAATCACTCATTAAATAAATGAATTAAATATCGTTCTTTAAAAATGCTCTGGCGTAAATTTTATTATTATATTATGTCTTTCAAAATGATATCCAGCTTTTTAAAACGTTTTAATGTAAATGGAATTAGTTAAATGCAGCATGCGCACGTTGAACGATAAAAATATGCTGCTTGGATGGATTGGATTAAAATGTTATTTCAACTGGAATAGTTATACATATAATCGAAAATTGCGTGTTTATTTTTAGACTTTTTATCCTCTCGTGGCACGCGCCGAGTTGCACGAGGACGCCATGCCGATCGAATTTATGCAAGATCGCAAACTGGACTTCGTCGAATACTCCAAGCTGAAGCCGTTCACTGTAAGTCACAAATTTTAGTTATTCCTATTATTTAAAATCAACCGCTCTCTATCGAAGATATCAGCTGTAACGTCATCATAATATGACGAATGATCTTTGACTCCGTAATTACTCTGTAATCCATGTAAAGTGATAAATTATGTTTGTAAACAAATACTAACATAGCGTTAATGTTTAACTTTTAATACAAGTTTTTTTGCTATTATACTTTACCACACGTAATAGGTTATTTGTGTCTTGAGTTAATTTTCATTACTTTAACAAATATTGTTAAGTAATTATTATATATATTTTAACATTTTTAGAAGGCATTTGTAAAGTTGTGTATTAAAAACATTGTATATCCTGGATTCTCCTAGTTTTTTGAAGAAAAGCAACATGTAGGGTACGAATGACCTAATTGTGTGTGGTTGATTATCCTCACAGTTATCAATTTGCTTCAATATATTTATTACTTATATCAATTTTACTTTTCTTCATATTAATTTTAAACGATTATTATTTATAGTTAATACGGTATTAATTTGATATTTTTCATGCTTTATGAAAGTTTAACGTGTGACGAAGGTAACATTTTTGTTTAGCAGAAAGAATTGATGATCCAACAATATTCTTTAATTAGCTGTTCACGTGCTTTGTGAATATGGGTTGTGAAGAAAACGTAAAAGCATAAAACTCGTGCGCGTGACGAGAAGTACGGTGATAATTTTCGCTGACCAAGGTACATTGACGCAATCCGTTATCTCGTTTCCCTCCTAATTTCCTCGCCGTTGCGGTGTCCTGCACATTTCACGCGCGAGATACGATAAAGGATCCCGAAAACGATTAAGAGCCCGCGAGCGGAGCGAGTTCGGTCGGCGAACGTGGTATAGCGCGTCACAGCGGCCACTTCCGCTTTACGACTGGAAACTTACTTCGTTAGGGCCTCGCTAGGAACTTAGTTAGAGAACAAGTTCCGGCGCCATTGGCGCATCCGACACCCCTCCAGGGCAACGGATGCGAATGCGAGAGCGCGCATCTCTTCTTCTCTCCTGAGTCGTACCGCTGCTGTAAGTAATCTTTCACGGAGGGGCTTGTTGTCCAACTTCTCTTAAGAGCTACGCGGAAGAGCTTCGACCGAACTTACCAGGTGGAAGGAGCAGCCGAACTTTGACTCGAGTTCCCGTTTCACTTTCGCGTGTGTGCAGGAGTTATGTTCGCGAGCGTGACAGAACTTTTCGCGGATTATTCCTCTCTGAACTGAAAATTTTATTCTTTCCCGATAACGAACGAAATTGGAGAAACTTATTAATGGGAAGATATATGTCTTAATTATTTAGGGCAAATGTTGGAGGTTACATGTGGAGCTAGAAAGTAAATTGTAAAAGCAAAAGAATTTAATACAATTCGATACGTTCTTTACAATTGTTTAAATTTATTTGTTAACATATTGCTATTTTATCAACAATAGAAATTTTACATGCAATGTTATACTTTTTTTTATAACTGGCTGTTTTTATCATTTTATTTATCTCATCATGAATATTTCGAACTAAACTTTACGAACAAATTATCAAATAACGCGTTTTCCTGTTTCTTTTTTTTTTGCATTTATTTGCTTATTTAATCCAATTTATCGGTTATTCATTAAAAAGAGAAATTAAATCGATGAAATTTTCCGACACGAATGTGGGAGTTAATGTGCTAATTACGAATGTGATAAGCAAATTCCGGTATTAGTTTTTGACCTTCGATGATTAGTTTGAGGCAGTTGTAATGAATGAGCATGCAGAAACTTCCGCGCTCTTGTCGAGCTTGGGGAAGCTCCCAGATAGGGAAATACGAGCCACTCGACCGAGATAATAAATCGATCAGACCGATCCCTCTTCGCGAGGGTGAAAGAACAGTGCGCGTGCACGTTTTTGTGTGTGTGCGTGCGGCAACTTCGAAAGTTGCCGCGTTTCTGTTAGGGTAGGAAGAGTTGAGCGAGGTGGAATTGTTTCCAAGTAATTAAACTACCGGGAAACTTTTACCGTTAAAACTTTTTCCCGCTTCGGCGACGGTATACGTTGTAAGTCGTTTACGTGCGGCGAGAACTTTCAGTCCGGCGGTCAGGTTCAGGTGTGTCTCACCTTTCAAATCCGCCCTTTATCCTGCCACGTGCGACTTATTAGTCCATCTCAAACAAGACGTATCATCTTCGTAACTTGTGCATTAAGGATACCCTGAGAAATCTTGTATGTTATAACAATGCAAGACAAATTGCATTTTTTCAGCCTTTTGATTGAAATTTAACATCTTAAATCGATCGAATTTAACATCTTAAATTGAGACAATATTTGACGCTGACTTTTATAATAAACTCAAAACAATCTCAGTTTTAATTATTTATTGTGGTTTGACAAAATTATTCATGAAGCTATATATATCGTCACTCTGAATTCTTTTTGTGGTTGTAAATTGATCCTAATTTGAACAACAAATCTCTTTCAAACAGCTGTAGATCTTTTCTTTCAACTTTACTGCGGACCGGCGCGCTCGTCGAGAAAAGGAGTAAATCAGCGGTTAAATGCAAAAGGAAAAAAAGATATATAAGTGTGTGTGTACAAAAGGAGCGAAGAAATGGTGCAAGGGGCCAAATTCGTCCGGGGGGCAAAGTTGCGCGCGAGTGAGCTGACCCTGAACTATAAATGCGACGAGATTTTTTCTCCCCGTTGCATCGCATAAGTACCTAACATGCGTGCCCTTGCGCGCGACGTCGCTTTCGCTTTGCTCTCGTTGCCGTAGGTGCCATGAACGAATGCTACCGCACTTTACATCTCGCGAATATTAACCATCCGTCTGGATCTTTTTTGATATAAGCAAAATTTTACTTTCAAATTTTTTCGAGATAAAAGAGATCTAGGTTCCTTTACTGAAATATTTTGCTAAAAAACTTAGTAATGTAATAGATACATTGAAAATTAATCTTGATTTTTCTACTTTTTTGAAAGCCTAGAATAGTAATAACACTTAGACTGGACAGAGAGAGTAACAATATGATTGCAGATGGAAGATTAAATATTTATATGCATTGGCAGTAATAGTATAAATTATTTTATAAATTTTGTTTTAGAGTCACTCACGGTTTAAGAGCAGTGAATTTAGAACTGACTAAGAAAAAACTGTAGGTCCTTAGAAGTTAAAAAAATCAAAGGAACAATATACATATATTTTCATTTTCTAAAGACTTTTCTTAATCTAGAGTTTTTTTCTATATATATCTAGAGGATGGTCTAATGAAAGGAAATCTTCATTAGAGAGTAGATTTTAGAACTGCATTATATAACTTGTTAAGAAAAGGTCCCGTACCCATACGGCTGTTTTTACTTGCTGCCGACGTCAACTGTTAAGTATTAGTTTAGCGACTCGCATCAGTAACTCGCGCGTACGATCATCGGAGAACGTTGGAGAGCGGCCAAGATGAGGCGCCAACGTATTCCCGTTCTGTCTAACGGTCCTTAGCCAAGTGTGACGGCACTGCGTTATACCTTCGGTCTCCCCTCACGCGATCCTCGGAATCTTACCTGAAAGATCACTGGTAGAGAAATATATGTTATTCCTTTTACTTTGACGATTAATACTGTTCGCATCTAAACGCACGAACTGATGTTTGAAATGTCGCGAGAATCTGTACATAAAAGAATTATGTAAAATAATTAAGAAGTCTATTGCCTTATCTTAATAAAATCTTGAATGATTTATTTTAATTTACATTGAGTTGGCGAAATAGCACACTAATAGTGAATGCAGTTGAGGGCACTACTGCGTATTTATTAAAGTCGTTGTATATTGATTTTATTTGAGTGTAAAAGTGAATATATTTCGAATTATAATATATATAGTTTACGATTTCACCTAACAATGCAATAAAATGAGTACAAGGTTTGACGGTTTAATTCATTACGATAGCTGTAATACCAGTGTTTACTGATTGTGAGTGCGTTCAATCGTTCTCTCTCTCTCTCTCTCTCTCTCTCTCTCTCTCTCTCTCTCTCTCTCTCTCTCTCTCTAAATTATAAGCTAAATATTAAAACTTATCGGCCAAGAATTTTTGTATGACTTTGGCTCGTAATCTGGTGGGTGTGCATTATTCTTAACCTGTAGAAGACCGGAGACCCCTTTAGGAATTCGACACTGGCGCCATCTATTTTGCCACTCAACCCCCTGACATTGATAAAAAAGTTCTAGCCCTTAAAATAAAAAAGTCGATCAAAAACATGCCGGTCCTCAGAAGGTTAATAGAACTTATGTATAATATTTTTACAACAAAATTATAAGTTTTGCAAGCTTTATAATAAATTATCAGTTTTATGTTTCGAATTAAAAAATATCAATATATTTGAACTTGAGGAATCTGTTATTAAAATATTCTCAGATATTTTACTATCCCAAGGGCTTGATGCTTCAAAGCTTAACTTTCTACAAACTGAGCTTATACCCATGTAATACCTAGTTACGAAACAGTTCCGTTTATAAATGATGTTATAACCTACCTGCTGTGCGTGTATCGGCCATTGGGAAAGTTTAAATACGAAAACGATTAAGTATCGTAGCGGTAAGAGACTGGCAGAGTTATTATATCGAGTAATATCGGAGTTGACATGTTCATTATTGACTAAATTTTATCGAATAGATACAGACGCCGATGTAAAAAATAATTGCACGCGAGTAATTTTATTGCGCGAGTACACAAAAACGGTACACGTGTATCTGTCTGTGCGCCTTCAATTTAAACTTTACGACAGTCACCTGCCCATAGTCATTTTATCTGTCGGTGCTTTGGTTCCGTGATTGTACGGTGAACGCATCGCGATTAATGGCGGACGCGTTCTTAATTAAGGAACTCCTTAATTAATTAGCTGCCGCGCCAGCAACTGCTAACGAGTACCCGCGGCGCGTGATAGAACGATAACAGTCGACATTAGTGTGGGTCGTGATTTTCCGACCGATAATTTTCATTTCGAGAGGTATTTGCTTAATAATTGGAGAATTCGCTCAAAAAGAAGCGCACAGACAATTTTTATTAATATTAAAATCTGTACGATATAAAGGAAATGTATTATGAAATATGTAATAAGTATATTACCAAAAACAAAAGTCTCTGAAGATAATGTTACAAGCAAAAAACGATATTATAGATAATATATTTTGTATTTATAAATCACATGTTTTATATTTTTTATATTTTTCTGAGTATTAAATTATGTAATGTATAATAAAAATATATATATAGTTATACAATATTTCCAAAATGCAATCTGTATATATTGATACGAATATATTATCAACGATTAAGAGCTTTCATAATATTAATTTATTTTAATTTTTTTATAAAGTGTGATTGTGGAGACAGTAGTATTTCAATTTCTTTTAATTTTTCGAAGTATACACTTTTCTATTTCTTATAGCGATGAAAAATAATTAGTGAGGTAAAAACAGAGTTTTTAAGAAATGAAGACAAACATCAAATTTTTTTTACTTGAGTAAAATAATTTTTTGAATTTAAATGAAATAAATAAATATTTTTTACGAGAGAGAGATATATCATACGCAAGCTGCGAAATTTATTATGAGGAAGACAATGCTCGTTTCAATGTTATTTAATTTAGCTCAAGAACTTTGTAAGAAAGTAGTATATTATACATATGTAGAAGGTCGTGCATGTTATCGTGGACGAAGTTTTGCTTGAAAATTGCATCGCATTCGTGGAGAGGATTGAAATTACGAGAATACGATCGGAGATGGGATTTAGTTGACTCGCTTTGAACGAGAGAAAACCTCTGGAAACGATCTTTTGGAGCAAGCAATCCATAACGTGGGGTCGTAATCCATAAATAAGGATACCGTTTCTCTCGTTCCCGTGCCGAATGACATCCCCAAATCGAATTATCGTGCGTACGAATAATTCAACGGCCGACAGATAATCTCGTTGACCCCGAGACCAATCCTAGTCGTTCATTTCCACGTTATAATTGGTGCGCGACGTGTCCAGACAAACGTTATTTCTCGACTCGATATCGACGTTTAACGACGATAACGGCTTGATGAACGAAAAATACGTTTTGCGAACTGCTCTTGACGAGTGTCTCTCCATAAATGCCATATGTTACGCGAAAATTTTCTATTGATTGTGCCTCTCGCACAAAAAAAACTTCTTCTGAGTTTGCAGGGAACGATTTTACAATGGATACGAACGACTGTAAGGACGATGGTTGATAGTTATTTGCAAGCACTTTCGTTTATGATGGATGAGAAAATCGCGAGAAATTATGCTATGTGCACGAACACGTGTACAATAGCGTGTACCAATCTCGCACGAAGAGATAATTTAGACGATAATTTCGGGATGTTAGAGATACTGGACATTTATCTAAACGCATGTTGCATGTTATATACACAGGTCTAAGAAAACTTTTATCTAAACTAATATCTCGCTTAACTTTCGCAAATATAATATGATTGTTAAGACAGCTCTTCAATCATGTAGTATTTTCCTTATAAGATTTTACATTCTATTTCTGGGGATGAGAAAAACATAAAATTGGATAATTTTTAATGAAAGAAAACGAAGTTTTCGAATCTGAAACCCATGACATTTTTGCAATACGTCATTAGTGAGAGCAAAACGAGTAAAAACTGATATATTTTTAATGAATGTTTTTTATAACTCTGTAAAAAGTTTCGTGGGATGTGAGGACTTTGTGAAGAGCATAATAAGACTGACGTAATTTTAATTATAATGCTTAGCAGTCTGCAAAGTTTACGTTGTACTTTACATATTAACGATAGGGATATCAATTTGCAAAATACATCGAGTTCGAGATGTACGTCATATTTCCAATCCTACAAAGCAATTATTATTCGTGTAATTACGCCGTTCTCTTTGATCGCGTGAAGCTGCTTTTCCATCTTTCTAGCATTTATTTCGTTCGATTCACTGGCATAATGAAGGCTCCAAGAATAACCAGGAAAAAGTTGGGCAAAATATACAGACCACAGCGGACATAAGATAATAACGGTTGAGACCGAAGTTAAGTTTATATCATCAAATCTGGTCGAATCGTAGAGCCTCCTGCCACGAGGTCGTCGTAGTCATCCGTGATTTTTTTTCATTTACAGACTGCTCGATAAATCTTTAGAGGCTATTTCTGTATCAAATGCGACGGAGCTTTATCTCTGCCAACAAATTTCTATAAATTATTATAACTCTGTTTCTTTATTATTTATTCTTGTTGATTACGTAATAAATTAAATTTTTGAATTATCTCGAAATCAAAGAGAGAAGAATAAGTATATGAAAGAAAGGAATTGACCCGCATTGGAACTCCATGCAAAGTGCCTCGTGAATCGCGTTCACGACGAGCATTGCACGGACATTAAGTGCTCTCGACGCTTCGGTAATAACGTTCTAATTGCCGTTGTATTACTACCATTAACGCGCTTCACGCCGTCACGCTGTGCGCAACGATTGCATAACGCGTGTCTGACGTAACGGCGTAGTGATGACGTAACTTAAATGCGAACACGAGCGGTGTGCTCGCTCGACCGCGTACTCGTCATCGAGAAAAAAGGAGTGATCGCGAAACAAGGTGAAAATTGACATTATCCCTCCCTCTTTGAATCTGCATGACATTCTTAAGAGAACCCCATTATTATGAAATATTATAAATGCACTCTTCAACAAGGAACCACGTTAAATCGATAACGACGAAATGCAAACTTATGTAACTTTACCAGAAATATTCGCAGAAGCATTTCTAAAGAAACGTTTTAAAGTCTAAACACTTTACTTTCAAACTCCGTCGAGTTTTCTCCTCGGCGATTCTCTCCTGCTTGAAAATCGCGCCATTTTCAAATCAACCATGCAAAATTGATAAAAAGAGTTCAATTTTAAAATTATGCACGGAGTTACATAAATTAGAAAATTGTTTTAATCTAAAAAAAATTGTAATCTTTCTGTCGTATAGTCGACTTGGAAATGACATTAAAAGTTATAGCCATCCATTTGCACGTCATATAAGATTTAGTTTATTAACATGTATGTAGAGACGACAAAACGTATTATGTATTATGTATTGATTAGTTACAATCTTTGACTATATTTATAACTCGAGAAACCAGACGATGATGTAATTAACGTTTTTCAATGTCACATTTTGATTGGTACTCTAATGCATTAGAAATTATCGAGGTATCCATAGTTATAGATTTAACAAAGGGATATTAAATATTCGATATTAATTTTTGTTTTATCGGATCTAATTTCTCGACAGACACTCATGCTTTTAAGAGTATGCATAAAATCTTCTGACATATCGGTTATTGATTACGTAAAATATGACGTTTCTGTGTTCTCCTTAACCAGATTTGATATCTATTTCAAGTTTCAGCGCATTGTTTCTGTTGTTTTGTCGATTTATATATATATGACAGTATTAATACACAGAAAGAACGATTTTACTGAAATATCTAAAAATTTAGTTACAAATCCGAAAATAATTTTATTAATTTATTAAAGCAAAAATTTGTGTAGAAAACTAAAACGTTAAAAGCAATGCTATAAAAAATTTTAATATTCTAACAATTAACTTGAACGTTCTACATAATTATTTTGACATTTTAAAATTTATTTTTATGTCTACATATATCTAGCTAAACTTTTATATACTCCATCTAAATCAAAATCGTTCTTTTTGTACGTGAGATAATAATAAAGTTAACGAATAAGATAAAGTGCACATTAGCTTCTATCTTTCAAAACACAATAGGATATTATACAATAGCCGAAGGTTCGAATATTTTTTTTTACATGTATTTTTGTAAAATAAAAGAAAATAGTTAAACTTTTATTCATATTAGAGTTATTAATTATATTTTAAAATTATAAGTACGTAATATAGTATAAATCGCAGTCTGTTTTTAGAGTGAAATCCCGTGCACTCAGTTTTTCGTGAAGTTTTTATCCTTTTTGTTATCTCTTATAAAATTGCGCGGATTTTTTCCTTCTTTATTTTTCTAAAATCGTAGACACGTTCTCGAGCAGAGGAGAACAGTCCGCTCTTCTTAATCAAGTTCTACGGACGAAGCTTCAACCTCGGTCTTTTTTGTTCGTCTTTACAGCAGGACTGGGAGCTGACTAAGGGCGCAATGCCCTGGGGAAACGCCGTTAGAAGATGGGCCGAGATGCAGGATGGTCAGAGGATTCTGTTGACTACGCCCAGCGTTCTGGTCGGTTTTAGGGTCGAAGTTTATCGGGCGGAAGGCACTACACAATGGTACACAGCCGTGATCGTCGGTTACAACGAGTCCACTAAGGTGAGTTAGCAAGGTATTAATAATAAATATTACAGGGACGTGTTATCAGTAGATTAGAACTGTTCTGCAGCAATTCTTGAAGGACTCCCATATATCTTGTGAGTTGCTTGATCTATATTTGATTTTAAATTTGTCAACTTTTATCACACACACACACACAAGATTTAATACAAATTATTTATAAATTAATATTTTCGAAAGAGAACGATTTACGGTATCAAAAATATCACTTAAGTAAACCGGAAATTATAGGCCTTTGTTTTAATTAATAGAGTATCTCTATTTTAAAATGTAAAAATTCGGTCAATCGGTATCGAAAGAAATTACAAGAAAAGGAAATTAAATTTTCTTCGATAATGTTCTATAGTTAGACGATGCTTATTATTAATCTGAATTAATTCATTGATTCCAAATTAATGATGAACCAAAAATTTAAAAAGAATTCCAATTTTAATGATAATCCTGCAAGATGACATATTTGTGAATTATTAAGCAATTAGTAATTAGAAGCATGACGTTATGAACATTTATTAAGGCTATTTCGGTGAACTTTTAGATTCATATATCTGCAGTGGAAAATTATGGAATTAAATATAACTTTATATATGTAATATATAATATGATGTACATGTATGTGTGTGTGGTGTGTGAATATATGTATATCTAATAATTTAAATTAAGACATTCTAAATTTTCTCAAATTCTACAGATAAATTGATCATTATGTGTTATTAACCTCTTCTTTATTATATAAACAGATTTTGTTTTTATTTTCATTTTTTAATATCTATTTTATATTAATTTTTTTAAAGTTAATTTTGACATATTCTCTTTTCATTACATTTATTAAGATATGTTTTGATACGAAGCTATTTGTGGCGATTTGTTGTAACATTATCATTGTTATTTATTAAAAATAACACATCTTGAAGTGACTTAAATGAGTTTTTCAATTTTCTTTTTTCGGCCGATATTCTCAATATTTTTGCCGTTAAACATCCTAAGGTAGAGAAACGAACGACAGACTCATGTCGTCGCGAATGTAATCCTCCTCGTCTTGTCTCTCGGTGAGAAAGCTTCCGATAATTTATCCTGACAGTGGCGCAGCATTCCTATTGGAAAACTAAATCCCTGAAATAGTCCGCGACGAGAGAATGTTCCGGAAAAGGCGCGGAGATCGAAGGGCGAAGGAACATAAAATATCGGTTGAGTTGCTGAAGAAGCTTTTGTCGTTCGCGCGCTTTTTCTTTTCTGTCTCTTTATTCCTTTCGTATACGTATATATGTCAGTCTAGAATATTTCTTGAAAGTATCAGCAAAATCGAATCGATTGCATGTTGAGGTTTATTCGAATAGTCTTCGTTCTAACGTTATCTCTTAAAGACTTTAATGAAATATCGCGAGGCGAAGAGCATCAAAAATTGTATTGTCTTCCATTTTTTTTTTGTAAAACAAATTAACGTAAATGTTAAATTACGAGCCTTATTTGATTCTTATGTATGTATTGAATAATAATAATAACGTAGTCTGTTGTACAAAGAAAATAGAACAATAGTAAAACAAAACACAATAGGTAGAAAACATATTTAGAAGGTGAGGTATCAGTAATGGAAAACTAAAACTTGAACTATCATTAGATAAACAGAAACTAGAAACGCAATAGATTACAGTACAATAAAAATTAAAAAAATATGAGTTATGGGAAATGCAGACAAGAAATAAATTAAAAACTACACAGTACACTAGAAAAAAGAAGTGTTTAATTTTAAAATATTAAAATGTTTTATTTCTGTCTCCATTTTTTAAATACTTCGGTTGTTCCATCTTTAGATAAACCATATGTGGTGGTAATTTACCTATTGGATAAACAAAAGAGTAAAAGATTAAGAACATAAGAGAATAAGAGATTAACGCAGTGAGCTGAAGTTTACCGAAAGATAGAACAATCCCTCTTTAAAGATGTTTTAAACTTTTTCAATAAACAAAGCACTATGTTTGGATTTAAAACAATATGATGTGGTTTGTTTATTGAAAAAGTTTAAAACTAAAACATCTTTAAGTGTTAAAAAAATGGAGACAAGAATAAACATTTTAATATCTTAAAATTACTTCTTTTTTGAGTGTACAGAAATAGTGGACAATATAAAACGATAGCGCTATTATAGGAGAGAATAAAGTTCAAATACATACAGTAATAAAGTAGTAAGCAATAAACATGAGAATAAAAATAATTACACATTAGACGCAAGTGTCGAGAGGCAGCAAACTTTAATACAGAAAAAGAATTAAAGAAGCGAGGGGTAAAAAGAGAGAAATGAATTTTTTACACTATTCTTCTATGTATTCATTTTAAATAAATGAAAATAAGAAGAGAATTTTTCAACTGATACTTATTTTTGCAGACATATCCTTTTTAATTATTATTAATTATATGATAGTTGTGCATCTTGAGCTGTGATCTCGATCAGAACTTTTATAAGATGAAGTCTAAATTTTGTACGAATTTATAAAACTTTCTATTTTTAAAGTGTCGAAACTGTCAATAAGAGTGAGATGAAAACGGAATTTGTCGGAAATCATATCGACAGAGAAATCCACACATATAGACATTGCATCGCGATCGCACATCGTCTCGTTCCTTGCGACTCTGTCTCGCCGCTGATCAGTTAAGCTGATCAGTTAAGTATTGACAAGAAGAGGCGTTGATCGTGACGAATCTTAACGAGAAGCCAGACCATCAATCGTCCGATCTCTGACCCGCGAATTGGTAGATAAACATTCCGTGGTTAATCGGGCGAGTCACGAAATTTCTCGAAAGAATTGAAATCAATTAACACTCATTATGCAATCAATTTTTCGAAATTGCAAATGAAATCGTTTATGAGACTCGAGATCGACGAACCTAGAAAATAATTGAGCGTCTCGACCCGTATCACTGCTACTAGCAAATTATTTATCGGTTGAATTAATAGCAAGGATGTGAAAATCATTAATGGGAAAATTAACGTTAAAAGCGCTTTATAAATCTGTCCAGGACAATTTATAAGTTTTAATAATACTAATTTTTATTGACCTGATTATTAATTGATTATTCTTTTAGGATCTGACTGTCACCGACGATACGGTCCTCGAAGATCACAACGAGGATCCCACATTAGTACAAATGCGGCTGATTGGCGATGGAGGTGAGAAACATTAGCACGAAATAAAACACATACGTTTAATTAATAGCATAGCGATTAAATTTATATTAAAAGAATTTCCAATAAAGTTCAATTTTCGCGTGAAAACATTGATATTAAAAAAAAATTATTGTTCATAAATGCTGTTTAACGTTTAAAAAACTAGAAATGTATATTAAATAATTTATTAAATATTATTTATAACATCGTTTTTTTCAAGCGTTATTTAATGTTGCTTAATTTGAAATTATTACTTTGTAAATAACAGTTTTTTTTAATTTTCCAAATTATGTATATTTAATTAAAATTTTATAAATGATATCATCGAATAAGTGGAATAATTGTGAAGTGTACTGAAAGTGTTTTCGCTTTTTTTCCTCTCTTACTCAGTCGTCGAGAGCATCATGAGGGGCGAGGTCGTCGGCATGACACCAAGGAGGTCGAGGTCATCGACTGCTCTGACGCACGCGCTCGTTGTGGTGAGTGAAATCCAATTTCGTTCTATTATTAAACGTTCTGCATAGTTTACGATCGGCAAGTATCATAAACAGTAAGTGTGTATTGACGCGTCTTTATATTCCGTATATAATACCTCATGTATATAATGTATTTAAGTCGTTATAACGAAATTGACTTAACCCATGTTTTCCGGGCAACCTACTTTTCACATTATATAAAATTATTTTATGACCGCATTTGTGCATTCAATAAATGCGTTAATATTTTATAAATTTTCGCAAATTTCATTTAGAAAAAGTTTATTTTATTTTCAATTCATTCATATATATTTTTTTATATATCAGTAACGGTAAAGAAACACGAAGAAGATTGTGTGTACAATAATGTCATATTACAAATCTAAATATGTAATAAGTGCCTTTATATATGTATGATTTAATTTTTTGTCTAAAAATAACACACTGTACTGCGTATATAAAAATGGATTTAAACGTGAAGTGTTGTTTCAATTTATTCAAACGTGTAGTGCGGTGTTATTTTTACACGGAAAACTAAATCATGCATGTATACAAGGGCACTTATTACACTGTAAAAAATGCAGTGTTTAAAAAATGTTTATGGTTAAAACATCTCAAAATAAACGTTTAATAATAAAAAATATTTTAATTTTAAACGTTTTAGTATATTAAATCCAAACGCGTAATGTTTTATTTATTGAAAAAGTTTAAAATTAATACATTTTAATATCTTAAAATTAAACACTTCTTTTATAATAAGAGTACACATTAAAATTTGTAGTATTCGCTTGTGCACATATGATAATTCACTTCCATAAGTAAAAGAGCACATTTATTTTGAATTTCAAACCTCTCAAATTTTCCGTTTCAATTTCAGTCTTTAAAACGTATTCTTCATAGTTTGAACTGGTACCTCGGTCTAAACGCAAAAAAAAGGAAAAAAAAGTTGAGAGATGGTTACACTAACGCATGCACTTTATGACGTCGAATATTTATGGCGGCGCCGCTGAGTTGGCGCTAATCTAAATTTCTGCAACGCTGCAGTAACTAGTAGACGATGTTTTGCGAGGCATTTATCGGCGAAATGATTCGCGCGACCGAGAGTCACGAATTAAGGCGCGATAATGTCGCGGGGAAGCAAACATCTTCCTCGCGCGTGACGATAGCGTTTGCGGCCGTCACATGGTAAACCGTAATTGGAATCGAGTCGATGTGCCATTCCGAAAGGAAACCGCTGCCGGTAATCGTGCCTTGGTATGCTTTCGCAACGCGTACCTCATCGTATACACTCACGATCACGTTGTCGGCGTGTGAATGCACGAGACAAGCACCTTCTGATCGCTCACTCTCGTCGCTCACTCTCGTCAGATTTGTATACATGAAGATTCAATTGGTGGGTATATACTGGGGTAGAAGATTTGCCGATTTACATCGCAATTTAAAATGTGATATAATACATTTTACCAGACGTTTTCATTAAATTTCCGTACGTTCAATAATTTATCGGTATTATTGGGATGTATGCTCGCGAAAGTATTCGTATCGTTGTTTTGAAACCGTTATCAGCGGTTATTGTGTTACTTGAGCTTATAGATAAGCGGCGTTACGGAAAATAGGACATCGATTATCGATTGCGCAAGATATCTTAAACGAAACCCAGTCTCATTACGTCGTAACAATCGCCCTGATACTTTTATTATAAAATAAAACTAAAAATTCCCCGGTCTCAAACATTCGATTGACTGTGTAATTGGCTTATGAATGTGGAAGAAAATCAAACGCGTTTGGAAACACATTAAAAAGAATTTCTATTTATAAAAAGTTTATTACATGAAAATATATTTGAAAAGCACATCGAAACTTCATGATTTTATATTTATAATATAATATAAAATATATTATCTCCTTGGAAATCTTTTGGAAGGTAAACATCTATAGAGAGAACAAGTTTCATACATTAATAATAAATTTTACGTATTAGTAATTGATTAATTTTAATATTGAAATAAAAAGTAGCAATATATAAGATAACCTCTCTTTTTAGCTTGTATAAAAAGATTGATTGTGTAGATGATTATATGTTAAAAGAATACAACAGGAAATATCGAGGAAACTGTTGTCATGTTTCGCGTTTGGATTTTCAGTGTACAAAGCCTACGCGTACCGAGCGTTTCCCTTTAACGTGGGAAATCAATAGAGTCGAGCTTGCAGCACCCTCGGGCTTTCAGGAATCGGGAAGCCCGGAATAGAGTCCGTTGCTACCTTAGCGGCCGACTTCCGTTCGTCGTGTTCGCGAATGCCCCACCTTTCTATTCCTCTCTCTTTCTCTCTCTCTCTCTGTCTCCCTACTTCTCTCCCTTTGTCTCTTCTGTCTCTCCCTTCGCTCGATTTTCCGTCGAGACGGCAATCGAGGGCATAGTTGTCGTGCTTGCGTGCTCACGCCATGAATTTCTCGTCGCGGGTGAGACGTGCGCCTCCGGATTCTAGATAACGGCAATGGTCGAACTAGACGGCGATAGAATATCAGGTCGCGACAGTGTGCCACGGAACATTTACGAATATGAAATTAGATTCGTTTTTGGATCTCTATTCTCGTAGACTAAAATTTTAACCAGCTTTAGTCTTCCGCGATCTTCCGCCGATGATATTTCGTGTACTATATCGGACGCCGCGATTTATTATTCTCCATAAATAACGGCTCTCTCGCTACAGAGAGTTAATTAATACGGACAGCGGGTATTTTGCTCTTTTCATAAATGCAAATCAGACGCCGATTCGGCATTGTTCTCCGGGATCAGTGAGTGCTATTCCACGGTTTGTTGTCAAATTTGTCGACATAAATCTCGCGATTTATCGCCTCGACGGTTGGATCTGCTACCTCTGCTACGTACGACGACAGGGATGCGACGAGAATAACGGCGATCGTAATTGCATATTCTACCCGGAACCGCGTGCTGCGTTGACATGAAATCGTTATTAACTGTCATGGAGATTACATATATGTATATAAAAACACACATATGTGTATATAAAAACACATATGTATATAAAAACACACATATGTGTATATAAAATGTGTATATATATACAGGATATCTCAAAATAATCGCCAAATATTTCATGGGCAGGTAAAGCGGGCTAAACTGAGTCGAAAAGTCCTTTATCATTTTGCAATTTTCGCAATAGTTAATAAGATATTAATTATTAAAAATTGCCAAATATTAGTATTGAATAATTTTTTACTCTAATACTATCAACTTTATAGAAAAACTGCAAAAGACAAAGATAATTTATTTTTTTTCTCATAGAACTCTAAGAATTTTTTTTTAATTTTTTATCGACTTTTTAGTATTGCATTTTCTTATTTTTACCAACATGAGAAAATACGGTACTAAAAAATTCTGAAAAAATTTTTAGAGTTCTATAAGAAGAAAATTAATGATTTTTGCCTCTTGCAGTTTTTCTGTAAAGTTGATAGTGTTTGAGTAAAAAATTATGCAAAAGACCAATTTTCGGCAATTTTTAGTAATTAATATCTTGTTAACTATTGCGAAAATTGCAAAATAGAAGAAGACTTTTCGATTCAGTTTAGTTTGCTCTACTTACCCATGAAATATTTGGCGATTATTTTGGGACATCCTGTATATATAATATATAAAATTAAGCAGTGCCGCCGCAAGCATCGGCTTTTTCCGATTTCAATGTAGAATACTTATGTATTCTGAAATACATCGTTACGATCTCATGCAAAAATAACTGACGCCACTTGAATGTCACATTTGTATTGATTCACTCTCCGATACATTTCAAGAAAGACACTCTTACCTAACCTAAATACATGCAGATGTCCATCAAACCGAGTCTCGCTGTGAAGCTTTATTTATTTATTTAGTATTGAAATATATACGTATTTATATAGCGATGAAATAACGAAACAATGAATGTAATGGTTACCCCGTTAGTTTGCATTGAAGAAAGATAAACGATGAAAAGTGAAATCTCTCTTTCGAATTTGCGCCTTATAGAACATAAAGAATGTTTGATAATCCTCGAACACCTTGTACCCTTCCTTAAGCGAACTCGATTTGATTTCATGTCGGATATGCTCATTCGTCTCAAGACTTAGTAAAGTGCGATTCATCGACGTGGCTTAGTGCATTCCACCACCTGACAAAGGTCACGAAAGAAAGTAATTCCTTGGCTGGTTCCATCTTGCTCTCGTTGCTAGGAGGATAATCGCGGGGCGGAGATGGATTTCGCGACGAAAGAAAATGATTTATGAATGTCCCCGGAGACAAGAAGAGGGAAGAAAGGGGCCATGAAAAGCCCCTCTCGCATTAAAGAGAATTGTAAGATCGAAGAGACCGAATTCGGAAAGTTTCCTCAAAGTTTCCTCGAGACACGAAGAAATCTGGAAGTGAGGGAATAACTCGTTCCTCCTTGAAAAGCGGTACCTCAAACTCGCGCGAGAATCGGGCGCCAAAACTACGAAAGAGAATTGCACGTTAAACGATCAAAAGTTCCGGGGTTGTCAAAGCGAGGATAGTTCTTTTAAGTTAAGGCAGCCGCCAAGCCTCGAATGGTACAGTTCCCTTGATTACGGCCGTTTCTAATTTTCCACCATTTCTCAGCCATCCCAGCCTGAATCCACACAGGCTCTAAGGTGCGTCCACAAGTTTTGCGCGAATTATTCTGCTTGTTGGCGTAGGAAAATTACCGTCGCAACTCTCACGATTAGATCTCTCATACTTCTTGCGAGAACGATTTGCTGCGTTAAATCGCACTTTTACAGGTTCCCAGTCAGCACCGAAGCGTTAAAGGTCGCGCATTATCTGAACATTAAGGGTAGCCGCTCTCTTTCTCTCTCACGCATAAAATTCGCATACGATTCGCGGTATGAGGTTTGCGCAATCTTAACCGTTCTCGAAAATGAGATTTTAATAACAGCGTGTTTACCCGACGTTGCAGTCAATTATTGGAGATTGATGGTATTGAGTTTGAAT